TGAAGGCAGCGGGAGACATGGCTGAGCTTCTGGAAGGGGCGATCCGAGTTTCACGATGCCCACTCGGGCCATGTTTGGAGGTGCATGGACAGGCCGACCCCGAGGGGGTGCCCTGGGGAGAATGCAGACGGTGGGGGTGCTGTCTAGGCCCAGCCCTGGCTGGGGGATGACAGTGCCCTGGGTCGTAAGCTCCTCTGGCTGGGCTCCTGGCTCCCAGGGACCCTGGCTCTAAGACAGCTCAGCTCTGCTGTCCTGGGCAGGCCGAGGGTGAGAAGTAGGAGAGACATCTTCTTGCCGAATTTGCCAAGAGGATTAAAACTCAAAAGCCAACCAAAGCTCTTAAATAAATAAAGCTGACAGCCACAGTAGGAAATTACTCTGGGGTTGCACAACAAAAGCTGGTTATTAAATGCCACGTAAACGGCCCTAGGGCTCTAAATTCTGAATTAATCGCACACTCAAAGGCCTATTTGTTTGCAGCTGTAGGCAGACAGGCTGCAAGGATCCTAAGTCCCTGGAGTGAAAAGGGAAAGCTCTTCTCTGTGCAGACCCTCTGCACACATTTATCTCAGTTTTTGCTGCCGCACCGTGTAGCAGCACTGCCTCCCTGAAGAGGTGGTGAGCCCGTCACTGGGGTATGCAAGGAGGGTTGGGAGGGTTATCGGAGATTTGTACGTCACGTGGTGATCCACTCATTCCACAGCACCTACTGTGCGCCAGGCGCTAGACCAGGCCTGGCAGGGAATAAACAGACCAGGCCCTTGCCCTGTGAGGCTCGGGGCCCAGTGAAGATGGAGATAAGGCATCAAGTCAAATAGGTGTTGTGCAAGTCTAGAGGGGACCCCAGAGTGCACTCATGAGGCTAACGAAAGGGGTTAGCGAGGCATGGCGGTCAGGACAGGCAGCTCAGGGAAGGTGTGACAGCCAGGCCAAGGCAGAACGAGGACTCGGCCAAGTGAAAGTGAGGGACTGGGGATTCCAGGCAGCGCACACAGCACGTGCAAAGGCCCTGAGGCGAGAAGGGGACCGGCATGGCTGGAGCACAGAGGATGAGACGGTGTTCAGCGTGGGAGGGGCCAGAAGGCATGGGGTCGTGTGGGTCAGGATACATGTTGGGGAGCTGCCGAGGGGGGTCCCACCGGGGACAGGCAGGATAGATTTATCAGGATTATCCTGGCTGCTGTGTACAGAGTGACCAGAGGGAGGGTGAAGGAGGTGGGAAAGGAACGGGAGGCCAGAGCGGCCGGGGCAGATAGGAGCAGTGGCAGCCTGGGGGACGGTTCAAGGTCGAGCTCAAGACCAGCCTATGGACGGAAGCTAAGGAACGAGGGGAAGCAGAAAACCAGAGGCGACGGAGGCTTCTGACCTAAACTTGCCGGGGCGGTTCTCTCGGTTGAGGACGGTGGCCAGGTGAGACACGGGACTCGAGCTCAGAGAAGGCACAGGCGCCCTGAGTCATCAGCACCTGGGCGTGTTTGAAGACAGGCCAGGGTGAGGGTAGAGTTGGCAGGACTTCTGTGCAGGAAAGCTCAGGGTGGGCCCCAGTGTGTGGACATCACCCCGCGACCTCTGGCAGGGCCCTCGGGAGGGCAGACGGGGGACACTGCCAGTGACGCCCTGTGGAAGCTGAGCCCAGTGGAGCTGGAGACCTAGGCCTAACCCCGACTCCACTTATGGGGGACCCTGCTGCTCCCCCCACCCCGCCCCCACCCCGGCCGCAGAAAAAAGCCCGGGGCCCTTGAAGAGTGTGGCTTTCAAAGCCAGCCAGACGGGGGCCAGTCCTGGCTCAGTCACTTCCTGGCCAACTGACCTCAGATAAACCACTTGTCCTCTCCCTGCCTCCGAGGGCACATCTGCGGTGTATGCGGCCAGAGTGCAGAGGCAGATGTGACTGTGACGAGGAGAGACCTGGCACCAGAGAGTACTCCACGCACACTGCAGAAACCTGGGTGTCTGAGGGCCCCGTGTACAGGGTTGGGGTGTGTATGACAATGATCGCACCAGGCCCAGAGCGATGGCGGGGACACAGACCACAGTGTGATCTGTGCTCACAGGCCCTGGACCCGGCTGGCCCTCCCTCCTGCAGCGAGGCCTCCCTTCCCCTCTCTCGTGGGCTTCAGCCCCACACAGAGTCCCTTGCCCCTCGGGCTCTGGGGGCAGCCATGCTCACGGGATCCTGGGCCTGTGAGGCCCGTCCACGTGCCTCTGCGTTGCTGCTGTCCCTCTCTGTCCTCCCATCCTGTGCTCAGAGAGCGCCCACTCAGCTCCCACAGCTTAGCAGAGGAGCACCCCACTGACTCTGCCAGATAAAACAACTGGTAATCGCAATAGCGATAATAATACCTGAAATAATAGATGGCCTTATTGATTGCAACAATTCTCCCCGGTAGGTGCTACTGTCAGCCCCATGTCACAGATGAGGAAACGGGGGGTAACTCATCTAAAGCCATACCATTTGTAAGGGCACCCCGGGACAGCCCCAGCCTGTGACCTCCCCTCCCAGCCACTCCGCCCACTGGCCACCTCTGCGCCTGTCTGTGGTCATCAGGCTGTTTCCCTCTTCCCACTCTCCCATATGCGTCCCCGCCCCTCTGAGCTTCTCGAGGGCACAGACGGGCTCTGCCTCATGGAGGTGCCCTTATCACCATCCCAGGCCAGCCAGGCACACAGAGGAGGTACTTCACAAATGCAAACATGATCGGTTAAAAATGAGGGTTTCAAAATGCCAAGACCACCTCCAACCTCCCTGCCTGCTGCCTCCGCCATCCTGGTCCTGGGTCCTAATTATTCTAATAGCACCCGCCACATGGGTGGGGCATCGGGGCTGGGGAGGGGCCCCCACGGACACAACCAAGCTGCAGTGGGCAGGCGCCAGGCCCACCCTGAGCCCCCCACCTCTCAGACCCATCATGACCCGAGACGGGCCCACTAGTACCAAACCCCAACGCAGATGGGCCACCCCTGAGGGTGCAGCAGGCACTCATTAAATTATAACGCCCATCTCCCAGACATTAAGCGGCACCAGCGTCTCATCCCTGGGTCCTGGACGCAATTTAAACATAGCTGACCACATCACGCTCGCTTCCCTAAGGCCCTGCAATGGCACTCCCAAATAATCAGTCAATAGCGCTGGTTCCCAGACTGGGCTCTGTATTCTGCCAGGAAAGGAGTGCTCTCTTGAAATTCTCTTGAGAAACCCTGGCTTTTATCAATTTTTTTGTGTATTTCTTACTACAGGTTTTCTCAGAACCTCTGATAGAATCAAGTGACTGCCAATTGCAGGGACAATGTTCATGCCCCCAACCTTTTTGGGCCACAGGACACTTATTTTCAGAATACCAGACGACTTTTGGGAAGCCTGGCCCACAGGATGAAATCTAAGCTCTCAGCAGGATGCTATGGCCACTCGTCATCCCATCTCTGCCCACCTGCACAGACTCGGGTCAGCCTCTCTCTCTCTCTCTCTCTCTCTCTCTCTCTCTCTCTCTCTCTCTCTCACACACACACACACACACACACACACTTCCCCTACACACCAGCTGCTCAGGGCTATTGGCTCTCCCTACAAGGCTCACCACGCATAGCCAGCCTCCATGTGGTGGTTCATGCTATTCTGTCCTCCCAGAAAGCCTTTTCCTCTCGCTACCTGGAAGGTGTGTCCTTATCCTTGAAGTCAGTTTAGATGTCCCTCGTTGCTGAAGGTCCCGGCACCCAGGCAGCTGTGCCCTGTGGTGCTCCCAGGGCAGTAGGGCCTGCCCTCATGGCTAGTCCCCCCCTGAAGCTGCAGGCTGAGGGCACACATGAGCCCGACTCTGTGAACTCAGGGCCCAGCACAGAGTATCTGCATGTGCCTGTTGAACTAACGCCGCAGCCTGCCTTCTTAAGAGACGTCCCAAACACATAAGGGGACAGCAGGTTTTTCAGCATTTTCTTCCATGCACAGGGTCAGCCTGTGTGGCAAGAAACCATCCAGGGCCAACTCCAGGTCAGGGAAGGCTGTTCTGGGATTTGAAGAGGCAGAGAAATTCCCTGCCCACAGCCTCTCCCTGTGGAGCCCCAGGCATTCCAGGGACCCCATCAGCTCGTTCACCATTCCCAGACAGCCCTCTGGGGACATGCATTTTAAGTGCAGTTAAAAAGAAAGAAAACAGGGCCAGGCGAGTGGCACGTTGGTTAAGAGCTGGCTTGGGACACCAGAGGGCCCCGGTTCGGATCCCACATATGAGGGCCAGTGACACTGCCCTCCACAGCTAAGATGCTGAACAACAGCTCAACCTGGAGCTGGGCTGCTGTGAGTCGCCGGCGACGGGGTAGGCTGCAGCCCCTGTTGCAGTGGGTTGCCATGGGCTACCGTGTGTAGCCAGCAGCCAGTGTGAGCGGCCAGCAGCTGCAGTGAGCGGCCGTCCAGAAGCCGGCGACTGATCTGCCTTGCCCGGGAAGAGCGCAATGATGGTGCCAACTTGGGCCAGTGAAGCAACGTCCTCCACAACTAGACTGAAGAACAAAAGGACAGCAACTTGTCTGTTCCCCTTTCCCCAATTCCCCAGCACTGTTCCCATCCCCCAATTCCCCAATTAAAATCTTAAAAAAAAGAAAACATTGAGTGTCGCTCCAAAGGGCACCTGGGCTGGGAACTTAGGGCCAGGAAAGATGGCTTTTTGCCCAAGCTGACCAGTGGAAATGAGACACAAGACAGGTAAGTTCTGATGAGGCCAGAAGCTGGAGGAATGTGAGCTGGACCAGGCCGGCTGGGGTGGTCAGGAGAGCACCGGGGTTCACTTTTGACTACTGTGACCTTGGGGACAGCATTTTAATCCCTCCGGGCCTCAGTTTCCCCACTTGGAGAGCCAGAGGGCTTGCTAGCTGATTTCCAAAGGCCCTTCCAGTTGTGCCCAGAGCTTCAGGATTTTGAGGCTCTGCCCTAGCACTGAGCCTCAGTTTCCCCAGGAGAAGCCTTCCCGTCCACCCCGGGGCTGGTCTTCCCCAGCCCGAGCACTTACCCGATGGGCAGGCGCCCTTCTGCAGCTGGCGCACGGGCGTCCCAGAGAGCTGCAGCGCCCGGCGGCTGGCCGCCTGCAGCGCGCACACGTTGGCATAGGTGTGCCCGTCGGTGCCGCACACCGCGTGAGCCCAGCGGCAGCGACACACTCCGCGCGTGCACTCCAGGCTCTCCCCACACGGCGAGTCGAGGGGGCGGCCGCACGGTTCGCCCTCGCTGGCTGCACACACCAGGCAGCAGTTGCAGAGGTCAGGCACGTAGCCGCCGGGGCAGCGCGGGCTGGGGCAGCGCGACACATCGCAGCGCGCGGGGCACGGCGCCGCCGGTGGCTCCCGGGCCAGGGCCAGCGCGGCCAGCGCAGCCAGAAGCAGCGCCCGCGCCTGCATGGCTGACGGGCCGGGGGCGGGCGGCAGCGCGGAAGACCGGCCGGAGGCCGGCGGGGACACCGAGGCCGCGCTGGGGCCGGGCGCCGGACGCCTACGGAGGGGCCGGGGACGCGCGCGCGGCCACATGCGCCAGCGGCTCAGAAGGGCCGGTGCCGGGACCGGAGGGGCATGACCGGGTTGCGGAGACTGGAAAGGCGCCCGCTCCCTCCTGGCCGACAGTCTGCGGGCAACGGGCCCGGCAGCATTTAAAGGCGCAGCCCGGCCCGCCCCCGCTGGAAGGGGCGGCCGGGTCCCCGCGCCAGCCCCGCCCCCCGCCCCAAATGGCCAATGTTCCGCTTTCCCGGCCTGGACGCACCGGGCGGTGGTGGCACGAGGGGGCCTGCCTGGTCTGGGCAACCCCGGAGATGGATATACCGGTGGCTCAGAGGGGTAGGGACATGTGGAGGGGGTACCCCCAGGGTACAGGCACCACTGGAGTTCCTGCACCAGAGGTGCCCACGTCCAGGGTTCCAGCGACCTGAACTGCTCCTCCATCCCCATGGAAATGGACAAGTCCAGGCCCCAGCTCCGGCGCCCCAGCCTGGCTCCTGTCCCGCCCGCTTTCTCCTCCTCCCCCCACCCCCAGGCCTCCTCCGCAGGGGCGCTCTCCGCGCAGGGCCTGGACAGGCCACAGCGGTGGTGTGGATGGACGTCACCCCTCTAGCTCCCCACCTCCGTTGGTGACAAAGCTTCGGGGAGCGCCCACTTGTGCCCTGACTCCTCAGCCTTTGGAGCTGGAGGACGCGCTCTCCCAGGCGCTGGACAGGTCTGTCAGGGCTCACAGCTCTTGCCTTGGTCTGCTCTGTGAAAGGGAATGAGAGCCCTTTGCTGTCTCATAGGACTGCTGGGGTGACCCCACCAAGTAGATAGTGGGTTTCAATGTTCCCAAGCACTTCACGCTTGGCACGCAAGCTCTTCCCCACTCAGGCTCTAAAGGGCCACTTCAGACCCAGCGCCCTGCCCTGGAGGGGCCCAGAGGCTGGAGACAAGGATTTCAAGCCAGCCTGACGAGGGCTGTGGGGTCAGAGGGAAGAAGGCAGAACCCCCTCTGGAGGTGGGCAGGGTGTGGCTATGCGGTAATGGGACTGGGGCCTGGCAGGGGACAAACCAGGAGCTGGTCACCCCCTGGTCAAAGGCCCCAGAAGAGAAAGCAAATTAAAGCAGGGTGTCACTAAGCAGGAGACATGCATGCAGACGCTGGAGCTGGGGTCCCCCCTTCTGTCGTGAGCCCCTTGGCCACCCGGTGAAGTCCAGGGAGCCTGGTTCAGAATGATATTTTTTAAATGCATAAAACAAACTGCATAGCGTTACAAAAGGAAAATATGTGATTGAAATACAGTTATTAAAACAACAAAGAAATCCATGATATACACGTGGGCTTCTCTGTGAATAGTTAATAACAACACCCGGCGTGTCGGATCGGATAGCCGGGAGGTTTCCAAGCAGCGGGGAGCAGAAGGGAGTTTGGAGGTGCCTGCGGCCACCGCAGGGCAGTGTGGAAACACCCGTGCTTTTCCCTGGTGACAGGGTCACAGGTACACTGTGGCTCGGACCTACGTCACCACCGAAGGAAGTCTGGGCTTCAGGGGGAGTTGTGAGAATAAAGATGTCCTTTTCACCCAAGTTTATGGATGCCCAGGTTAGGAACCTCTGGCTCAGAAGGAGGGAGAGGGAACTGGGGGTGGGGGTGGGGCCTGGACGAGATAGGAGAGGACCCTGGGCGCTGCCTGGGGAGGGGTCAGATGGGTTTGTTGGAGGAAGGGGTGCAGGCTGGGGAGACACAGGAGAAAGGAGCTGGAGGTCTGGGCTTGAGCACCCACAGGATCCCAGAAAGGCAGTGGCGGTGAACGTGAGGCACAGCGTGGAGTCGAAGGGCAGTAGGGGAGTGGGGTGTGAAGGGGGCTATACTACATGCATTTCTACCTCGGAAAAAACGGGAAGTGCATTTTGCTTTGAAGATGTGGAGAGTTTCAGGCCTTTATTTGGAATAACCCAGAATGCTGGGGGTTGGGCACCCCAGGGCCAGGCTGGGCTTGGCCTCCCCCAACCCTGGCCAGGACTCCTGGTCCGCATCTCCTGCCCGGCGGGCTCAGGCCTGTAAGGCAGAGGGAGTGCCCTGCAGGTCCAGGACATACTGGGGGGCTTCGTGACCCAGAGCCGACTCTTTGGGGAGCCACACAGTGCTGCAGACACCCATCCCTCAGGGTAACACCAGTGCACAGAAAAGCAGAGACCTGGGAGGGTTAAGAGCTCATTTCCTGTTCGGTTAGGGAAACCATGTCTCAGGGAGGCACAGGGCTGGCTGCGGCTGCAGACCTGAGTTTGCATGCCCTCTACACTTCACAAGTGATACCTGCTGCTCTGTGGGGCCTGAGGCTATTCAGGTGCTCTGCACACATTATTTGACTGAATAGGCACGGCCCCCTGGGAGGTGTGTATTGTGCTCCTTAGAAGGAGGTTCTAGAAGGTGAAGGCCACAGCGTGCAGCAGGCCGGACTCAGAGCTGGGTCTTTCTGCCAGTCAAGTCTCAGCTCTTCCCTTCAGACCACACTGCCCCCCAATGGTCATTCGATTAGACCTTTACAACTGCCTGGCAAAGGGGACATTTATTCCTTGTACAGATGGGGAAACTGAGGCCCAGCGTGGAAGGACACCTAGTAGCTTCCCTGCTCCACTTGGAAGCAGCGGTGCAATCCCCTGGAGTTGCCTTTGTTCTTTCTGGACATGGGCTGACGTGGGCGGCCAGCTGGGCTCACTTGGGCTGCCGTGAGCATGGGCTGGCCCGAGGCCCCGAGCTAGCGCTCTGTTGGCTTAAAAGGGAACCCAGTTCCAGAATCAGGGGCAGCTGCGGGGGAGGCGGAGGGACAGCGCCCCCTGCTGCTCCCCACTCCTTCCTACCTCTGGCTCTGCAAACCAAGACACCCTCAGGGCTCCCCCAGCCTGCTAGGGGCTCCCTCCAGGGGATCTGAGCTCCCCAGAGCCCTGCCCCTCTGTGGGGGGCATTCCTTGAAGGCCCAGCTTGTGCCCAGGTGATGCCTTAAGGAAGACGGAGGCTCCTCCTACTATCGGGACACACAGGGAACACGAGGCACATTGTCCTCCGTCCAGGCTCCCGATGTGGCTCTGCTAGTGCATCCAGGCCCTCTCTCCTGAGTGTCCCTTCTCCAACAAATGCCGACAGGCTTCACTTACGTAAGTTTATCATTCATTCGTTTATATTCACGCCCCTTGGTCCCCACCCAAATATTTAAGGCTCTTTACAAACAAGAACAATATAAAAAGGAGGGGAGGAAAATAGAGTGAAGCAAAACGGAGTGACAGGAACATAACGGGAAGCCAGAGGTGAGGCTGATATGTAAATTCTTGTCATGAGATGCTACTTTTTAGTGTGTGCCCATAAATTCCGCTCTGCGTTTCCTGGTAGCTACTGCCCATGTGATGAAAACAGGCCCATTGCTCTAAACCAGCCTAACTCTTCTCGTTATCGAAAGGAGAGGAGGGGTCCCCAGGGAGCCTCAGAAAGAGGACGCTGGGGGATGTGCTGACAGCACCCTCTACCGTGACACCGTGGGGCTCTCCATAGAGTGTTGCTCGGTGGGGCCCAGGGGCGAGACAGCCTAGGGATCCTGCAAGAATCTCTGTTAGTCAGCTGGCGATTTGGATTTTCCTGGGGGAGCAACCGTTTTGGCAGTAGTGCCTGCGCTTGGCAGAATGACCTAGAAGCTAATTCAGGAGCAGGCCTTGCGATACTGGGGTTGGTGAGAAGTGGCCTCACTCACTCACTCATGAAAATGCTGCCCTCACCTAGCACACTTTACTGCAGGTAATGAGTTCCATGAAACTTTATTCAAGGAATGGACTCGGGTCAGCCCACATGACTTGTGGCACCCAACACAGTAGGGCGAGAAGGTTCTAGAAGACGGGACAGGGCTGCGAGGACTGAAGGCCTTCAGAACCACGTCAGCAAGGGCCCAGACACCATGCTTTGGGACCCTCTGATGAAACGCAGCCCAGGGGACCGAGGCATTCTCCCTATGGCCTGGCACATAAGGGCCCCACGGCGCTGCCCAGCACGTCCACACTGGTGCCAGAGGACCAGGCATTCTGAAAACCAGCAGAGGCGGTGGCTGGTGGCGGAGGCAGCAGTGCCCCTTGCAGACTCTGCCTTGTTTGTAAGCTCATGGGAAGTGCCCTCCAGGGAATGCCCCAAGATTCCTGGGCAAAGGGGATACTTTCCGTGGGGCTCAGGGTTCTGCGCCTGCAGCAGGGGTTCTTGCTATAAAGAGTGACCTTGCTCCAGACTGCAGCCGTAATGGGAACCACAGCGCGACCTTCTCAGGCCTGACTCCACTCCAGGCACAGCCCCTTGCCGAGAGGGACGGCGTCTCATTTCCCGGGCGCTGGCACATGCCGGGCATCAGCCAGTGTTTTGTTACATTGATCAGAATAGAGCTGACTCCATCGGGCCAGACCTGGGTGGGACCAGAGTCTGCGCCCCCGCTCCTGGGACACCCCCACCCCAGCACAGAGCTCGACAGCAGGGCTGTGCCCTGGCCCTTGGGTCCTACTCTCCAAACTCTGGGCAGGCTCTACCCTTTGACCTGCGCCTTGTCCAGGCAGGGGCTGCACATCGCATGAGGTCATAGCTTACGTCACTTTGGGGACCTCGAGGACCATCCCCAGCCACACCTCGGTCTTCGATAAGATTCATTAACCGGCATTAGTGGGTGACTCAGCGGGTGGGCCCTGCTCAGGGAGGGGTGGTGACGTGTGAAACACTGTCTGCAGCCTCCCCTTGGCACTCACCACTCGCAGAGGACGGGGGCCAGCGAGAAGCGATAACCAGCACTCAGCACTGCTCTCAGGAACCCTGTGCGGCAGGTGCTATGAGGATCCCCGTTTAGCAGGTGAGGCAGCCCAGGCACAGAGAGGTGGAGTTACGTGTCCAAGGTCACAGCATGGGACTGCGCCCTGTGAGGGGCCCATGGAGGGGCCACGAGGCAAGGACCTGGGCTGACCCCTAGGAGCTGAACGCCCCCCAGCCGACAGCCTGCAAGAAAACAGGGACCTCAGCCCTACAACCAAAAGGACCCGAGTTTTGCCAACACCCGACAGACCCAACACATGTCCTCGCTGAGCCTCCAGTTAAGGATGTGACCGGTGGCACCTGGAGAGACCCGGCATCAGGAACGGCTAACACATGCGGCTCCTGACCCACAAAAACTATCAGACAGCGAAGTGTGTTGTTTGAAGCCACTAGGCTTGTGGTCACTTGTTTTGTTGCACAGAAAACTGATATAGGAGGTGAGGGCTGAGAGAGAGTGTGCGGGGCGGAGGGAGCACGTCGGCCACTGGGGGCAAGGAGACAGCGGCCTGGAGAAGGGAGGCCCCACTGCACCAGCGCGG